CCCTGTGACCCACCTCGGGGCCTCTTCAGCCCGCCCTGGATCTACCCTGATCCCTCCCGGAGCCCACGCCGGCCCCCCCACGGCCCCCCCGGGGCTCACCCTGCTTATCCCCTGGGCCCTACACCGCTCCCCCCAGCAGGGCCCGCCCGGGCCTCCCTCGGGCCCAGTCGGTCTCTCCCTGGGCTTCCCCCCCGGCGTCCGTCCTGAAGAGTTTTGGGCGAAATGAGAAGGAAAGGGGCCAAGTCCACCCACCAGCACAGCTTGTGCCACCAGCTCCTTGCTCACGAAGCTCATGAGCTTCACTCTCTTAAAAAAAAAATTCCTGTCCCCATTCCTTGTCCTTTTCCTTTGTTACTTTCACAGCCTGCAGGCCCTGCAGCTTTGCATCTCTAAGCAAGTCTGTACAAGCTTCTGTCCCGTGAATTTGTGAAAGATGCAACTGAAAGCAGAGATTCTCACCCAAAAGCTGGCAGCAGGGCACGGCAGGAGGCCTTTGTATTTTATTTTTTTTTTTGGTAATCCGCAGTTACTAAGCGGTAGACTGGGGAAGGTGCTAAACACCTTTGTTTTCTGGTTTTCACAATGGTTAGGAAGAAACTTGGATGGCTGGATGTTCACCTTTGTTTTAAGGTGACTGTAGCAACTGCAGCTGTGAGAGTGTACAGAGTTATCACCAATCAAGAAGCAAAACTTTGAGTGATCAGGGCTAATTGCACCCGGTTATGGCTCCTCACACAAAGCATGGTAGGACTAAGCCCTCATCCCTCCATCTCTCACCAGTACCACCAGATCTAAGATGTCAGATGTCGTTAAAAAAGCAGCTGAGTCAAACATGTTTGCGAAACCACCCACCTTGAGCCTTTATCTGGCCTTGGTGGGCACACTGCCCTATCTGTTGTTACTGCTGCCTCAAGAGCACTGCTGCAAAGGAAGTCGGATGTGCAAAACCCCAGATTCCCAGGGATTTTTCAGTTACTCCCCTTGTTTGGGATCCCATCAGGGTCGTGAATTGGGTCAGCATTGGTGAGCTAATCAGAAGGGCTGCCTGTGCCGGAGGATGGACTTTTGCTGAGTCCTCTCCTCCCCGGTAGCCGGAGGATGCTGAGCTGGCTCTTGTGCAATCTTGCGTGGGGGAGAGAGATGAGCTGCTGATATAAGGCCCACAGTGGGAACACAAGAGCAACCCAGGACAGTGGTGGCTGAAGGAGCATCGGGTGGCCTGGTGATGGTGAGTGGGGTGAGAATGGGGTGAGATCTTGGCACTGGTGGGACCTCTCCAAGCTGCTGCAGCAAACAGGGAGCAGGGCAGGGAAGGAGCCCTCCTTGCCCAGAGCTCCAGTGGGCACAGCCCCTTGGGGTACACGATGTGCTGCCAGACCAGAGCTCCACAGGGAGCAAAGCCAAATGATCCTAGGAAAACACTAGCAACTTCTTTATCTCGTGAAGGGAAAGAATAGGTAAAAACTCTGTGAAGCAGTTACATGCCTCCTTGTTATGATACAGGTTACTGGAAAAGCAAGGATCCCTTTGCAAATCCTAACTCTTCAAAAGAGCTGTAGTGGGAGGAAGGAAACTCCTTTCCTCTTCAGGAGCCTGGACTGGTGCCTCAGCTGTGCAGTTTTACTCCCAGTGCCAATTCTTACTGAAATGTGGATTTATTCCTGCAGGTCTAGTTTCTCCTACCCCTTCTTTTTGGAATAGCTACCTAAATTCAGGACAGCTTCTGACCCTTCTGTTAGCCCATGGGTGGGAGAGCATTGCTGATCTGGCCCTTTGGTATAGGAAATGTCTTTGTGCCGTTGAACCTGGAGTTTCTGGAGGAAATACAGTATAGAAATTATCAACCTGTGCTTGACGGTTGACTCTGAATGACTGCAAACCTCTCCAGTGAGCATGCTAAAAAAACAAATTACCCAGAGCCTGCTTGTTTTTACAGGGAAGGACTGTGAGGTGTTTGCTGCTGGTCTCTGCCCTCTGCTTGGCTGGCTGCGAAGGCTACAAGAGTGAGTTGTGTACACTGTCCCTGCCAGGTCACAGATAGGTAGTTTGGAAAGGAGAGGTCAAACCCTCACCTGATCCATGTTCAGGTTCCTTATTCCAGGCACCGGGAATGGCTGCTATGGGGCAACAACAGAGCAGGGCTCAGGGGGCAGGGACTGGAGTGCTCAAGCCAGCAAAAGGCACCTCTGGCATTCCATCCCAGCCACATTCAGTGGAGATGGGCAGAGGTGCTATGACATGCCGCCACCAGCCTTGCTTGCTGCTGACAGGCTCCATAGCTCTGATCCAGCTTACAGCCATGCTGGGGCTGAGCCAGGCTCACGTAGCCCCAGGTGAGCTGTGACAGGATCTTCCTCAGATGAGCCTACTTTGGCTGTAAGTGAGGATCTCAACCCTTGGATCTGGGCAAGGCTTCACACCATGGCATGAGTTTGCTCTCACATCTCTCATAGGGGAGATATTCTTGCTGCATTTCAGCTCACTGGCTGTTCCTTTGCTGCAGGTGAGCTGTCCAGCCCCCATGGCCCCAGGAGGGAGGTTGCCCCCCACCTCAGGAGGAGCCTGGATGCCTGCCTGCCAAACCCATGCCAGCACCAGGGGCACTGCCAGGCAGTGGAGGACAAAGCAGTTTGCAGCTGCAAACCAGGCTTCATGGGGGTGTTCTGCCAAGGTAAGGCTGAGGATGCTGGTGAGCCCTCCCTAGTCTGCCCACAGACACCAGAGGGAAGGGTGGTGGGCAGGGTGTGCTGCTCCTCCAGGAGGACTTCCCAGCTCCTGGTGCATTCCCTAACACCACCATGTCCTGACTACACATTGGTACAAGGCTAGTCACAGACTGTGTTCTTCTTCCCCAAAAGTCTTAGTTCCTGTAAGAAGGAGCCCTTGGCTGTCCAGAAGCCATGTGTTGGTGTAGCTGTGCAGCAGGGCATGTGGAGCACGGCTGCCT